CTTTTTGCACTAATGCTTCCCTTTATGACCTTATCCATTCTCACAGCCCCCAGGGTTTGAACCACTGTAGATATGCGGGTAAGTCAAGTGTATTTATTTCAATCCCAAGTCTCTATCTTGAATTTCACATAAAAGTATTTAACTGCCTAACATAATCTGTGGATATCCTAGGGGGATGTCTGCCAGTTTCGAAAGGTCCCAAACAATTCATTAGCTTTCTCTTCAAACCTACTGCATCTATATAATCCCTAGTTTGGATAACGTGACCACCATCACACCATCACCGACTTCGCAAAATCAGGAACTTGTTCTTTTTTTTTTTTTTGGTAAGGCCATAACAAAGTTTATTATTTTTTAAGTTGTTTATTTTAAACAAATAAAATACTTTTATTTTAGCTTCAGGGGTACACATGCAGGTTTGTTCTGTAGATAAATTGGATGTCACAGGACTCTGGTGTACAGATTATTTCATCATCCTGGTAATAAGAATAGTATCCAATAGGTAGTTTTTTGATCCACTCCCTCCTACCACCCTCTGCCCTCAAGTAGGCCTCAGTATCTGTTGTTCCCTTCTTTGTGTCCATGTGTACTCAATGTTTGGCTCCCACTTATAAGTGAGAACGTGCAGTATTTGGGTTTTCATTCCTGTGTTATTTTGTTTAGGATTATGGCCTTCAGTTGCATCTGTGTTGCTGCAAAGGACGTTATCTCATTCTTTTTTATGGCTGCATAGTATTCCATGGTGTGGATGTCCCAAATTTTCTTTATCCAGTCTACTGAAAGGCATTTAGGTTGATTTTTGTGAATAGTGCTGCGATGAACATATGCATGCATGTGCCTTCCCCCACCCCGCCACCCTTGGGACATGGTTTTACTCTGTCACCCAGGTTGGAATGCAGTGATGTTGTCATGGCTCACTGCAACTTCGACCTCCCGGGCTCAAGTGATCCTCCCACCTCAGCCTCCTGAGTATCTGGGACTACAGGTGCATATCACCACATCTGGCTAATTTTTAAAATTTTTTTGTAAAGATGAGGTTTTGTCATGTTGCTCAGGCTGGTATTGAACTCCTGGGCGCAAGCCATACACCTGCCTTGGCCTCCCAAAGTGCTGGAATTATAGGCATGAGCCACTGCACCTGGCCTGCATGCATGTGTCTTTATGGTAGAATGATTTATATTCCTTTGGGTATATACCCATTAATGAGATTGCTGGGTTGAATGGTATTTGTGTTTTAAGTTCTTTGAGAAATTGCCACACTGCTTTCCACAATAGCTGAACTAATTTACATTCCTACCAGCAGCGTATAGGTGTTTTTCTCTGTAGCTTTGCCAGTATCTGTGATTTTTTTGACTTTTTAGTAATGGTCTTTCTGACTGGTGTGAGATGGTATCTCATTGTGGTTTGATTTGCATTTTTCAAATGATTAGTGATGTTGAGCATTTTTTTCATATGCTTGTTGGCTATGTATGTCTTCTTTAGAAAATTGTCTGTTTGTGTCTTTTGCTTACTTTTTAACGGGTTATTTGTTCTTTGCTTATTAATTTGCTTAAGTTCCTTATAGATTCTGGATATTAGACCTTTGTTGAATGCATAGTTTGCAAATATTTTCTCCCATTCTGTAATTGTGTTTTCTCTATTGATAGTTTCTTTTGCTGTGCAGAAGCTCTTTAATTAGGTCCTATTTGTCAATTTTTGTTTTTGTTGCAGTTGCTTTTGGCATCTTCATTATGAAATCCTTGACGGGGATTATGTCCACAATGGTATTTCCTAGGTTATCTTCCAAGGGTTTTATAGATTTAGGTTTTACTTAATTTTTGTGTACGGTGTAAGGAAGAATTCTGGTTTCAATATTCTGCATATGGCTAGCCAGTTATGCCAGCAGCGTTTATTGAACAGGGAGTCCTTTTCCCCATTGTTCGTTTTTGTCAACTTTGTTGAAGATCAGATGGTTGTATGTGTGTGGTTTTATTTCTGGGCTTTCTCTTCTGTTCCATTGGTCTCTGTGTCTGTTTTTGTACTAGTACTATGCTGTCTTGGTGACTGTAGCCTTGTAATATAGTTTGAAGTCAGGTAATGTGATGCGTCCTTTGTTCTTTTTGCCTAGGATTGGCTTGGCTATCCAGGCTCTTTTTTGGTTTCATATGAATTTTAAAATAGCTTTTTCTAATTTTGTTAAAAAGATCATTGGTAGTTTTTAGAATAGCATTGAATCTGTAAATTGCTTTGGGCAGTATGGCCATTTTAGCAATACTGATTCTTCCTATCCATGAGCATGGAATATTTTTCCACTTGTTTGTGTCCTCTCTGGTTTCTTTGAGCAGTGCTTTTTAATTCTCATTGTAGAGGTCTTTCCCCTCCCTGATTGGCTGTATTCCTAGGTATTTTGTTCTTTTTATGGCTCTTGTGAATGGAATTGCGTTCTTGATTTGGCTCTCAGCTTGGATGTTGTTGGTGTATAGAAATGTTGTTGGTTTTGGTACATTGATTTTGTATCCTGAAACCTTGCTGACGTTGTTTGTCAAATATAGGAGCTTTTGGTCAGAGACTGTGGGTTTTTAGGTATAGAATCATGTTGTCTGCAAACAGAGATAGTGGAACTTCTTCTCTTTCTATTTGAATGCCTTTTATTTTTTTCTCTTTCTTGATTACTCTGATTAGGACTTCCAGTATTATGTTGAATAGGAGTGGTGACAGTGGGCATCCGTGTCTTGAGGAACTTGTTCTTTATCCTTGATCTTTATGTCTCCCTGTACTTTTCCACAAAATTACCTCCAGGTTCTGTAAATTCTACTTCCTATATATCTCTGGATTCTGTTCTGTGTTCCCAGAAAACATTCCTTAATTCAGTCATTCAGCACTTTTGTTCTAGATTATAACTATTGCTTCTTAACTGGGCTTTCTGCCTCCACTCTTGCTCTCAGTAGTTCCAGTTTTAAAATACAGACCTGATCATGGTGTTTCCTTGATTAAGGTCCTGTTTTCTCCAGCCCTTTTCTGCCCACAGAGGTTAGTTGATCCTCTCTGGTTCCCATGATGCCCAGGGCTTACCAGCACTCTTCACACCTTGTTAAAATTTGTTGCTACCAAGAAATTGAGAACTCCTCGAGGGCAGAACCTTGTGATATTCATATTGAATCACCAGTGCCTAGCATAATATATGTGTTCAGTAGGCGTTTAGTATGAGATTTTTGAATGAATGTAATGAATGGGTTTTATGAGTTAATATGGAACAAATATTAGTTGAATGAAAGATGATCAATTAAATTTTTGAAACCCAAGCAACTGATTTTATAGACCCTGTGTTACTTTTAAGGAACAGAGTTTGAAAATGCCACATCCCATTACAGGGTAAACCTGATTTCTTCCTACTTAACATGTCACAAAACATTTTCTGAATGTAGATAAATGAGAATGTCATGAGAACCAGACTGTGAAACTAAGAGATTTGTTCCACAGGGGAAACCCCCATCAAAATATTAGGAGATACTTTATGCAGGCTGGCAGATAACAAAACCAGAAACTATTTCATATTATTCTTTTACTAACCCAATGTTAATTCTGTTTGTGTGTGTGTGTTTGTGCTTGTGTGTGTGTGTGTTTGTGTGTGTGTGTGTGTGTTTGTGTGTGTGTGTTTGTGTGTGTGTGTGTGTGTTTGTGTCTGTGTGTGTGTTT